GTGTTTTACACCCAGTGAGGACCATCCCCAGCCTGGCCACTAATTCCCATCTCAGGGTAACCTGGGGTAAGAGTCAGGCAGCTCAGTGCCTGTCCCTTTAACCAGCACCGCTCCAGCTGTGAGAGACTCTGACTCAAGGGAATCAACCTTGTACACACACATGCACACATACGCGCACACACACACATGCGCACACACGCACACATGTGCGCACACAGCCCCCACCACACAACACACACACTCACATTCACACACAGACACCCACACTCATACACACACGCACACACTCATACACACATGCACACAGCCCCCACCACACTCACACAACACACACACTCACATTTACACACAGACACCCACACTCTAGCCTGGGCTGGGATGGAGGAGACGTCACTTAGGCTGCAGGCTGGACCATCTGTGCTCAGTTGCAGAAGCTCAGGGCTTCCTTGGCCCTGGGGACAGTGTGGAGAAAGGGTGGGTGGCCAGGCCCCAGAAGGAGTCCCTGTGTTCAGCGAAAGGCATTTGCCCTAGAAATGGCTGCACAGCCAAGACAAATGCTAATGTGCGGCAGATTTCACAGGTCCACTCTACACAAAGAGCCACAGACAGCTAACAACGACGGCAAGGGGACAGTTCCTGTGTGTCAAATGAGATCGGCCCCTCCGACTGTCCTGGAACTCGCTCTGTAGACCAGATTGGCCTCGAACTCACAGAGACCCATCTGTCTCTGCCTCACGAGTCCTGGGGTTAAAGGCGTGCGCAACCACCACCTCCTCGCGATGTAAGTATATTTTAATTAAAAACATTTAAATGCACACACTCCTCCGTGCACGCGCGCGCGCACACACACACACGCATGTTGGCACTCCAGCTGGAGAGATCCTTCATGCACGAAGATGAGGAATCAGAAGGGAAGGGAAGGGCTGGGGCCTGGGTTCAGAGGGCAGAGCACAGGAGTCAGACCTGGGTCCTCTGCAAGGCCACCAGCGCCCAACACAGCACCTTCATGTCATGGGTCCACCCGGACGGGCTGGGGACCAATCCAGCACTCACATTCATGACCAACTGTGACTACAGCACCAGGAAACCTGACACCCCCTTATGGCCGCCATGGGCTCTGTACACCCTTTCTTAAATAAAAGTGACCTTAAATCCGGACCCACCGCGGGTGAACAGTGTTCAGCTTCTGACAGCCGCCCCATGTCCCCACCACCCCTGACATATACATACGTGACTGTCACCCCCACGTGCATTGAGTCAGTGGAGGCTGAGGCTCAGCAAATCCAGGAATGACCTATCCCTGCATCAGCACCACTCTGGGGGAAGCGGATGCTAAAAGCAGTTGCCTAGCAACAACACTCGCGGCAGCGGAAGGCTCTAGCTCTTTCTGGATGGACCGGCTTTTGGAGAGAGAGCTGCTCATTAGGGCTCGTCGGGGACCAAAGGACACCACAGAGACTAAAAGGGATGATCCTGGGAGGAGGGTGTAGCCTAGTGGATAGGGTGCCTGCAACTCAGTTAGCAAAGTCCCTGTAGCTCAACTGCCTGGACTCATGAAGCCCCGGGCTCTATTTCTAGCATGTGGAAGGTATCACACACCTGTCATGTAGCACGTAGCAGGTGTAGACAGGACAATCCGGAGCTCAGTGTCATTATTAGCTACATAAGGGGTATTTGAAGCTAGCCTTGGCTACATGAGACCCTGTCTGGGGGCAGGTCATCCTTGACCAGGGTCTTCCTTAGCCACTCTGGCATCTGTTCAAAAACCGACCTGAGAGGCCAACAGTATCTTAGGGGAAGATGGTTCTCAGCAGAGATGCCCTGCCTCAGGGACCCCAGGGGACCATGTCACCCAGCCACCTGTACCCACTGAGGGAAACCATAGCGCGCCGGGTGCTGGGGACACTGCTCAGGGGTGTTCCCTGCGGGGTGCCCTTGGCTCTACAGGGCACAGCAGCTCCAGCAGTCTCTGCCGACAATGCCAGGAGCACCCCAGTGTGACGGCGGCACGCGTTTCCAGATGTCACCCAGGATTCCCTGGAGGCGGGGGTAGGGTAATAATGGCACATCCTGGAAGCTGAGAGGTCCCGAGGCTGTGAGAAGTTTCCCGCATCCTCAGCTACATACTGGGCAAGGAGAAGTTTCTAGGCACCCTGGGTACAGCAGGAGCGCATCTGGCAGGTCTCCGTGTGAAGCCCCTCAACAACACACAGTGTGTCTGGTGTTCTGGGGGCTGCTGGGACCTTGTGGGCTGAGCAGGACAAACTGTCCACAGAGACCTGATAATACAATCCCAACAGGTTGGGAACAAGCCCAGAGGGCAGTCAACCCAGACAGTGTGTGTGTGTGTGTGTGTGTGTGTGTGTGTGTGTGCGCGCGCGCGCAAATGGAAACCAGAGTCTGAGTCACCTGCGCCAGGACAGCCCCTGTCACTCTTTCGTCCCTCGCCCCCCCCCCAGCTCGCACGTTCCCAGTAGAAATGCCCCCAGACTGCAAGAAAGAAGGGGACCTTGAAGAAAAGACCCTTGTGCTGGGGCCGCCCGGGGCTCTGTGCTGTATGTGGATCCCCAGAGCATCAAGACCGGAGATTGATTTTATGGAGACGGGCTTCTCCGATACCCTGCAGCCCTGTTAATCACCCCTGCCCTCAATCTCGCCTCCACCCTCTCTGTGCCAGGCCCCCCACTCCTGTACTTTGGGTGGCCTCATTTTTTCAGGCATCGCTTCTTCCAAGGGGATGATTGTCACCAGCCTCGCCAACAGCTGAACCTCCCACCTTCCTTTATCCAAGCTTCCTGAGAGGCCCCTGGTGTAGAGCTGCACGGGTCTCTCCTGACCCCTGGTGGTCATATGTGGTAATGGCAGGCGCTGCTACCAATCCCGGAAAAATCGTACAAAATGTCTCAGGAGATGGTCTCCAAGTTCAATTCCCGACCGTGGAAAGAGAGAGACCGGGCTCCTTCAAATTGTCCGCTGTCCTCCACATGTGAGCACACACATGCACAAATATAAATACATGTAATTATTTTTAGAAGGGTCCATACTGGACTGGAGGGACACTCAGTGGTTAGAGCACCACCTGCTCCTAGAAGGCCTAGGTTCAACTGCCAGCACCCACATGGGGCTCACAACCACCTGTGACTCCAGTTCTGAGGGCCCAACACCCTCACACAGACAGCAAAGCACCAATGCACATAAAATAAAAATAAAGAAGTTACTTTTAAAGAAAGGAAGAAAAAAGTCGGGAGTTAGGGAGCACCCCACTCTTCAAGGGACTCATGAGAGAAAGACTCAAGTCAGTATTGCACCCCCACCCTCAGGAGCCCAGCGTGACTGACAGGGCGGAGACTTCTCTGGGTACCCCCTGCAGCCTCTGGCTGCTCCATGTCAGGGTTTCCCCAGTTATGACCACCATGAGCGTTCCCTGATATCACATAGGGTCCTTGACAACATAAAACCCATTTTTTTAGTCTTTGTTTGTTTGTTTTTAAAATATTTATTTATTTATTATGTATACTGTATTCTGTATGCCTGCAGGCCAGAAGAGGGCACCAGATCTCATTACAGATGGCTGTGAGCCACCATGTGGTTGCTGGGAATTGAACTCAGGACCTTTGGAAGAGCAGGCAATGCTCTTAACCTCTGAGCCATCTCTCCAGCCCTGTTTGTTTGTTTTTTGAGACAGGGTTTCTCTGTGTCCTTCTGTGTATCTTTGGCTAACCTAGAACTCGCTTTGTAGACCAGCCTCGCCTCGGACTCACAGCCTGCCTCTGCCTCCCCATCCCGAGTGCTGGGATTATAGGTGTCATGCCGGGCTTACCTTTTAAATTTTATCTTATTTTAATTTTAGAGAGAAAATAGCCCAGGCTGGCCTCAAACTCACTATATAGCTGAGGCTGACCTTGTTCTCTCCAGCCTCCTCCTTCCCGGTGTCAAGGGACAGGCACATGTGGTTACATTTCAAATGGTATGAGTCACACAGTCAATACAGAACTGTCTTCTAATGCGCTCTTAAATTAAGAAGAGGTACAGACAGACAAAAGATTATACCCCGTGTGTGCAGTACCCGCGGAGGCCGGAAGGTGGCGCCAGTGCCCTATAATGAGACCCTGTCTCAAACCAAAATCAAAGACCAGGCGTCACTCAAGGACTTCCCGAGACCCCCTTTCTCGACAGCGCACCCCAGCCTCAGGAATGTGAACTAACTGGGCAGAGCGGGGTGCCGGCATGAGTACGGAACAGGTGCAGAAAGCAAAGTCAACCCCAAAACCTTGACCCTGGAGATGAGGAAATGGCAGCGGGAAATGGGGTATGAGAAACGGGGTGCGGGATAGGGTGCAGGAGACAGGTGTGTGGGAAACGGGGTGCGGGATAGGATGATGAAAAAGGGTTGCAGGAATCGGGGTGCGGAATAGGGTGCAGAATATAGGGATTTGGGAAACGGGGTACAGGAAACGGGGTATAAGAAACGGGGTGCGGGTTAGGGTGTAGGGGACAGGGGTGTGGGAGACGGGGTGCGGGATAGGGTGAGGGAAAAGGGTTGCAGGAAACGGGGTGTGAGAAACAGGGTGCAGAATAGGGTGCAGAAGACAGGGGTGAGAGAAACGGGGTGGAGAGAGGGGTGCAGGATACTGGGGTGCAGGAACCAGAGTATGGGAAAGGGGTACGGGAGAAAAAACAAAGGTTGGCAAATGGAGGTGGGAAGACAGGGGCGCAGGAAACGTAAGTATGGGAAATGGGGTACAGGGAATGGGATGTGAGAAATGGGGTGCTGGAGACGGGACGACAGAAATGAGATGCAGGAAACGGGGTACAGGGAAACGGGGTGCAACACCAAAGCGTCTGGCAAACTCTGGGGTGGAGAGAACAAGGCTGTCTGGGGCCGAGGTCACCCCACAGCACCATGGCCCCCTTCCCCGTCCGTGCGGATCCCGTCCCGCAGGACTCCTCACTCCCACCCAGACTTCAAAGCCGAGCGAGGCACCGAGCACAGCACCTACCTGCACCGAGTCCACCGTCCCAGCACCGAGGTTCCCACCAGAAGCCTTCGCTCCCTGGAAGAGAAACACTGGGCGTTAATTTGGCACCGCGGGCGTCAGGACGCGGGTCCCGACAAGCTGTGCGGTTCGGTCCGCGAGGGCCGGATGGGAACAGCAATTTACCGAAAGGATGAGGCAGAATTCATAATTAACCTCCTGCGCATTTGAAAGGGAAGTGGCGGGTGGGCATGGACGGGACAGAGACAGTCTGCAGAACGGAGGCAGGGGACTGCCCGTCAGAGGGGAGTGGCCGGCCTCCCAGGCCCCCGTGCGCCCCTCCTGAGGGTCACACCAGGGCATTTCTAGAAAGCGTTTGTTTACAGTGGAAGCTCAATGCTGGGCTTGACCAACATGATTCATAGGGAAATAAGGGCACTTCTGCGCTATTTTTCCAACCTCAACCCCCAAAGAGTGTTTCCGTGTTTGTTTTTTGTACATTCAGTGTGTGTTCCTCCATTTTGTGGGTTCTAGGGCTCGAACTCATGACCTCAGGCTTGACAGAAATCCTCTTTACCTGCTGAGCCCTCTAGCCAGCCCTTACTTTATTTTTTATTATTTTATTTGATGTAAGATTTCACTATGTATCTGACTTCAAACTCCCAATCCTTCTGCCTCCGCTCCTTCAGCGCTTGAGATCACATGCTAGGCTATGTACCCTTTTTAAAATATTATCTTTCTCCCTCTTGAGATGGGGTCTCGTGAGCCCAGGCTGTCCTCACTCACTATGTAGCCTAGGCTGGCTTATATGGTGCGGGGGCTGCCCCGGGCCTGGTGCATGCTGGGAGAGCGCTCTACCCAAGTACCTTTCTGAGGTTTTTGGTTTTGCAAATGCAGCTGCAATCCCGGCTGCCGCCTGCAGGTGGCAGCGCCGCTGCGGGAAGCGGCTGGAATCCTGCTTGCACTGAGGCCCGGCAGGAGCAACACGCCCATCCACGAGGACGACCCCAGCCACTTCACACGAACCCAGACAACTGAGAGTTGCACACGTGCTCACACCCAGGCTGGACACTAAGTCATTGGAGGAGCTGGGGCGCGTGCTGAGTGCAGAGGGAGAGCAGCTGACCCCAGAAGCGGGAGTGCGCG